CTTCACATAGTGATTGGTCATAACTAGTAGATGACCCCTATTGATTTTGGGGTCACTAGGTCAAAGGTCAAGGTCACAGGGGCCTTAAATGTCAGAATGGTTTCCACTGATTATCTTGAAAAGTATTCATCACAAAGTCTTCATATTTCACATATTGATTGGCCATAACTAGTAGATGACCCCTATTGATTTTGGAGTCACTAGGTCAAAGGTCAAGGTCACAGGGGCCTTAAATGACAAAATTTTTCTGCTGATTATCTTGAAAAGTATTCATCACTAAGTCCTCATATTTCACATAGTGATTGGTCACAATAAGTAGATGACCCCTATTGATTTTGCAGTCGCTTGGTCAAATGTCAAGGTCACAGGTGCCTTAAATTTCAGAATGGTTTCTACTGATTATCTTGAAAAGAATTCATCACAAAGTCTTCATATTTCACATATTGATTGGTCATAACTAGTAGATGACCTCTTGATTTTGTGATCACTAGGTCAAAGGTCAAGGTCTCAGGGGCCTTAAATGTCTTATTATCTTGAAAACTATTTATCGCAAAGTCTTCATTATTTTTCTTTTTTCCATAATTGAATACTTTAATGTACCCATTTATGGCAAGTTTCTCTAACAAAATTACCAATAATGTGAGTCAAGGGCTAGAAAGGGGGGCATATGTGTCGTTCGACATTTCTTGTTTAAAGTAATTTTGCACCGTTTCATACAATATCACTTTTCCACCCTTAATGTAAAATTGTTTCATTAAAAGAGTTGAGTTATCTTGTTCACCAAAACAACCTTTTGCTTTTTCCCCTATGTACTTAAAGTTTCATTTTTTCCTTTTTCTATTAGAAAGTATGATAATTCAACCTGAAACCCTAACTTTCTGGTCAAGTTGACTAGTATACCTATGTTATCTTAAAAAAATATTGACTGTGGTGTCATTTGTTTGTTAACACTCTAGCGGTCACATTTTGCCTCAATCATCATCAAACTTTGTCAGGATGCTTTTCTAGGATTGCTCGGATGAGTTCGAACATGGGTTACAAGGTCACAGGAGCGAAAAATAGAAAAATCTTATTAACACTCTAGTGGCTACTGTTTTGATCCAAATATCCTGGAAATTGGTCTGAAAGTTTGTTTTGATGATTTCTAGATCAAGTTCGAATATTGGTCACCTTGGGTCAAAACTAGGGCACACTGCCCAAATATGGAAAAAGCTTGTTAACACTCTAGTGGTCACATTTTTTATCAATTGTCATCAAACTTGGTCAGGATGCTTGTCTAGGTAATTGCTCGAATGAGTTTCAACATGGGTCATCTCGAATGAAAGACTACGTCACAGGAGCTAAAAATAGAAAAATCTTGTTAACACTCTATTGGCTACTGTTTTGATCCAAATATCCTGGAAATTTTGTCTGAAAGTTTTGATGATTTCTAAGTCAAGTTTGAGTATGGGTCACCTGGAGTCAAAAACTAGGTCACACTGCCCAAATATGGAAAAACCTTGTTAACACTCTAGTGGTCACATTTTTTACTGAATCATCATCGAACCTGGTCAGGATGCTTGTCTTGGTCATTGCTCGGAAGAGTTCAAACATGTGTCATCTTGGATGAAACCACAGGAGCTAAAAATAGAAAAATCTTGTTAACACTCTAGTGGCTGCTGTTTTTGTCCAAATATTCTTGAGATTGGTCTGAAAGTTTGTTTTGAAGATTTCTAGGTCAAGATTAATTATGGGTCACCTGGGGTAAAAAACTAGGTCACGCTGCTCAAATATGGAAAAAGCTTGTTAACACTGTAGTGGTCACATTTTTGACTCAACTGTCATAAAACTTGGTCAGGATGCTTGTCTAGGTAATTGCTTGGATGAGTTCAATTGATCAGGTGAGCGATCCAGGGCCATCTTGGCCCTCTTGTTTGTCTTGTTTGCTCAAATTATTTTTATTTGCCCCATTAACCCATTTCCCAATATACACACATTTAAACGCCTTTTTCACACACCCCTTTTATTGTAGTCTCAAATGGTGAAAAAATGCCTTATTTAGGCCCCCAACACTTGTTTTTGTTTGAGAGATGTTGTTTAAAAAAGTGACCAATTTTTCGGCACGGGCCCCCAACCAAAATATACATCAGGGGTTTGCCAGAAGGGGGATGTGCCAAGAAAATTTTGGACTTGTGAGAGGCTAAAAATGACCCCAGATCGATCATAAGGTAATGTGTAACCAACGCTGAAAAGCATTTGACTCTATCTTAATCCATTGAAAAGTTGCAGCACTTTGAAATCAATTTTGATGGAAAAAATCAACGCAAAATAGTGATATTTGGCAATTTTGAAATGTCCCCTCGTTGCCATGGTAGCAGGAAATTTAAGCCTGGGCATGTTGTTACAAAGGCAATGGTCCAGTCAACATATGTGCCAAGTTTGATTAGTATTGAAGCAGTTTTTATGGTTTTGTAGCAATTTGAACTTGTAATGGGAGACTTTTCAATGAAAACAGCCATTTTTCACAAAATGCTCATGAAGTAATGGGTTGAGAGGCCTCTTGAGCTGAAAATGGAAAAAATCAAGTCAATTATGAGTCAATATGCTTTACTTACCAGATGAACAGTAACAATGAACTAATGGGGTTCCTATTATATTTACTATGAAGACAAATAAGTGTCGGCAAACTTTATAGTTGAAGTTGAAGTTGAGCTGGACTTGTCTTTCTACAATATTTTTTTTTTTGAAAACTTATTTCTATAATCACTAAAAAAAACAGTTGTTTCTGGTGAGCGATTCAGGGCCATCATGGCCCGCTTGTTTTCTATTTTAATAATGTTCTTTTTAAACAATTATTTTAACCTTTTATTTGTTTGCTTTTGGAAAAAATAAGTCAAGCGTTCCCCCGCCCAGCTGGGCTCTTGTTATTGCTTACGCCCATCTAGTTACTGGATTATAAATCTTTAGGGCAAAGTCAGTTCATTATTTCTTAACATATGTGACACAAAATAGTTCTCTTCAAATGATGTAAAGTTTAGTGTTTGTGCGTTGAAATAAATATCTTTTAGTTAGATTAAATTTTTTCGAATGTACATTATCATTTTCCTTATTGAAACCAATATAAATTTATTTATTTCAATTTGAATAGACTTGAAACCCAACGCGAATGAATATTACATGGCAACAGCACCAGGTGCGATTTGTTGATTCAAGAATTAGAAAGTCATGTGTCCGAAGTAATTCTTAATCGAACGATTCTATTTCAGAATCAAGCAAGAACTCATAAAGCCCTTCATTAAAAAGATATACAAAATGATGACGGAAGCTATATTATAATATAATACATTTGACGCCATACATTTTAAAAAAAGCATTACGCAAACATAAGGATATATCCATCCATTGTTATTGCTGCAATTTCTTACTCTCAGCAAAACTGCCATTATCTTTGTACCATACTCTTCTTATGTGAAGAATTAATTCCGAAAAATGGATTGAATTAATTCTGAAAATAGAATTGTTTAATCGAACAAGTCTGAATTAGTGCTTCTAGGAATCATTCCAAAACAAGAATTGGCCAAATCGTACCTGCCTAAAGTCAAGCCGAGAATTCTGACATTGGTATGACTAAAATACTCAGCATGCATATTTTTAGCAAAACAGGCACAACATATGCTTTTTATGAAAAGTTAAGTTTTACATAATAAAACAGAATTACTGAGTGAAAAATATAACTTTGTTTTAAAATGTACATGAACACGATACTATAGTCTTATCAAACTCGTAAGCCATTATGGCCCTTCAGGCCTTTGATTATTTAGGGTCCATTGATAAAAAAAATAAAATGTTTCCTTCAAAAAAAGATGCGCTGCATCAGACGATTAAGAAATCAATTTTGTGTGGCCTTAAATCTTAAATGCTTTCACATTTAGTTATTTAATGTTATTTTGCACAATACAATTGATCATTTTGGGGAAAAAACAACAAAAACAACAAGAAAATGAATATTTTTTTTGTTTGCACACATATTGTTGGTTTAGATCTGTATATATGTATAGGTCTATATATATATAAGTAAAATCTCTAACTTGCCGTATATAAGCAAAAACGCTAATTTAAATTTGCCGTAGCTTTTGGCCTTGCGGCCTTCTTCAGCAGCATTTATTCTACATACAAATATATTTGCTGAAGAAGGCCGCAAGGCCGAAAGCTACGGCAAATTTAAATTAGCGTTTTTGCTTATATATATATATATATATATATATATATATATATATATATATATATATTGATGATGGATGGATAGATAAATATTTATGTACAATATATCTATATATCTAATTATTAACATATAATTTTTATAAAACAACAACAAATATGAAGCAGATTACGGAAATATACGGCAAGTTAGAGATTTTACTTATATATATATATATATATATAAAAAAAAAAAGTTCGATTCCTTGTGTGATCTCATGTATAAAAAAAGTATGTTTTGGAAATGCAGAGTACAAAGTTCGTTAATTTTTATACGTTTATTTCTGTTAGCGCTTTCAAATGTATATATATGTTATAATATATAACGTATAATATAAACATACTATTATATTATACGTTACTGTCTGAAGATATGTGAAAACATTTGAAAGCGCTAACAGAAATACGTATAAAAATTAACGAACTTTGTACTCTGCATTTCCCAAAACATACTTTTTTTATATATATATATATATATATATGATGATGGATGGATAGATAAAATATTTATGTACAATATAATTATCTATATATCTATTTCCGAAAGTCAACGTTATCCGCAAGATCAAGTAGATCCATAAGCTACAATGATCTTAAACAGATAATGTATATATAAGGGGGGATAATTAAATTCAATAAGTTGTACTTTCCCCTTTGTACATATCAAATATTCATCTATCCATCCATCAACAACACACACACACAAACGCGTGCGCTTTATATTTTCACAATTGTTCATTTTCGCTCATTCTTGATAATTGTAGTTGAGTGCAGTCTACCTGTTTGAATACATAGCACAAGGCTGTGCAGCCAAAGTACGACCTAAATCAGAATACAACATCGGATGTCCAGAGCTTTATGCAGGGCTTTCATTATGTTACCAGGTAAAATACGTTTGCATTGATTTTTCTTAAACAAGGGGTTGAACCTGAATGATGTAGCTCAGTGCTTTGTGTGAGAAAAACATGAAGACTATGACTATATGACTAATGGTGGCAATTTACTCATAAGTATTCAGGAGTTTGGTTGAATATCAAAAAGTATGTCAGGATGTTCTTAGTCTATTTGTATAAACATAAATGACTGGTACCTAACCAAATATGTTAATTACCTGTAGGTCCTATTAGAAAGAAGGAAAATATGTTACCAAAAAAGTTATTGAAGGAATGCCACTGATGTCAGCAGCAATTTGCTTCGGTTTTTTGGTTTCACAAACTATTTTGTGTCATTGGCATTTTAGTAAACAAGCACACAGTTAAACATTTACAACCTGTGTACCAGTTTAGCACATACATAGTATCTCTGTTCAATAGTTTGGGTCACTTTAAGATTATTTCTTTTAACCTCGGTTCTTAATTGATGTTTGATTAAATTTGTCCTAATAAACATTTTTATACCCCCAAAAACGAAGTTTGGTGGGGTATATAGGAGTCACCCGGTGGTCGGTCGGTGGTCGGTCGGGCGGTCGGTCGGTCGGTCCAGACGTCCGTTGCATTTTCCTTGTCCGAAACATAACTTGAAAATTAATGGTTGGAATTCAAAATAACTACAGACAATGGTCAAGCACATTGAGAGGAAGTGCAGTGCACAAGAACCATAACTCTATCTTGACTAATTACAGAGTTATTGCCCTTTGTTACTTTTCCTTGTCCGGGGCATAACTTGAAAACTACTGGTTGGAATTCAAAACAACTTCATACAATTGTCAAACACAATAAGGGGAAGTGCAGTGCACAAGAACCATAACTCTATCTAAAGTAATTACAGAGTTATTGCCCTTTGTTGCTTTTCCATTGCTTTTTTTTTTTTGTCCGTTGCATTTTCCTTGTCCGTGGCATAACTTGAATGGTTGGAATTCAATATAACTACATACAATGGTCAAGCACATTGAGAGGAAGTGCAGTGCACAAGAACAATAACTCTATCTTGACTAATTACAGAGTTATTGCCCTTTGTTACTTTTCCTTGTCCGGGGCATAACTTGAAAACTACTGGTTGGAATTCAAAACAACTTCATACAATTGTCAAACACAATAAGGGGAAGTGCAGTGCACAAGAACCATAACTCTATCTAAAGTAATTACAGAGTTATTGCCCTTTGTTGCTTTTCCATTGCTTTTTTTTTGTCCGTTGCATTTTCCTTGTCCGGAGCATAACTTGAAGACTAATGGTTGGAATTCAATATAACTACATACAATGGTCAAGCACATTGAGAGGAAGTGCATTGCGTAAGAAACATAACTCTATCTTGACTAATTACAGAGTTATTGCCCTTTGTTACTTTTCCTTGTCCGTGGCAAAACTTGAAAACTACTGGTTGGAATTCAAAACAACTTTTTACAATTGTCAAACACAATAAGGGGAAGTGCAGTGCACAAGAACCATAACTCTATCTAAAGTAATTACAGAGTTATTGCCCTTTGTTGCTTTTCCATTGCCTTCTTTTTTTTGTCCGGACCATAACTTGAAGACTTATGGTTGGAATTCAATATAACTACATACAATGGTCAAGCACATTGAGAGGAAGTGCAGTGCATAAGAACCATAACTCTATCTAAAGTAATTACAGAGTTATTGCCCTTTATTACTTTTCCATTGCTTTCTTTTGTCCGGACAATAACTTGAAGACTAATTGTTGGAATTCATTATAACTTCATACAATGGTCCAGCACATTGAAAGGAAGTGCAGTGCACAAGAACCATAACTCCATCTTGACTTATTACAGAGTTACTGCCCTTTGTGTCTTTTCCTTGTCCAGAGCATGACTTTAAAACTACTGGTTGGAATTCAAAACAACTTCATACAATCGTCAAGCACAATAAGGGGAAGTGCAGTGCACAAGAACCATAACTTCATCTTGACTAATTACAGAGTTATATCCCTTTGTTACTTTTCCATTGCTTTCTTTTGTCCGGACCATAACTTGAAGACTTATTGTTGGAATTCATTATAACTTCATACAATGGTCAAGCACATTGAGAGGAAGTGCAGTGCATAAGAACCATAACTCCATCTTGACTAATTACAGAGTTACTGCCCTTTGTTACTTTTCCTTGTCCAGAGCATGACTTGAAAACTACTGGTTGGAATTCAAAACAACTTCATACAATGGTCAAGCACAATAAGGGGTAGTGCAGTGCACAAGAACCATAACTCCATCTTGACAAATTACAGAGTTATTGCCCTTTGTTACTTTTCCTTGTCCAGAGCATAATTTGAAAACTACTGTTTGGAATTCAGTACAACTTCATACAGTTGTCAAGGACATTAAAAGGAAGTGCAGTGCACAAGAGCCATAACTCCATTTTGACAAAATACAGAGTTACTGCCCTTTGATACTTTTCCTTGTCCGGAGCATAACTTAAAACGTACTGGTTGGAATTCAAAACAACTTCATACAATGGTCAAGCACAATAAGAGGAAGTGCAGTGCACAAGAACTATAACTCTATCTTCAGTATTTATAGAGTTATTGCCCTTTGTTCTTTTTCTTTGTCTTTCTGGACTTATTACAGAGTAATTCAATTAAACTTCATCAATGGCCAACCACATTGAAAGGAAATGCAACATACATGAACCACAATTATCTTTAATTGCCCACAACCATGTTTCAATTTTTTTACAAGGTATTCTGTTACTAGTGACATCCTCATTTCCGAAGCAGACTTGTGGGGGTATTAATCACATTTAGTGATAGTTCTAGTTGAAAATGTTCTGTTTGTATTATAAACTTTATTCTAAGCTTACATGATATCATAAATGTTCCTATGAATAGAATGTTTTCAGATAACCATTATGTAACAATTATTTAACGCTGCAATTGTATTTCTTTTGCAGAACTTTTATGCACCCAGGCATATAGTAATTGAACCATTCGTCTGTCCGAGTTTAACCTTAAATGGCAAGTTAGAGTTTTCTTAAGGGGTCAGCAGAGCTAAAAATAGAAAAACCTTTAAACATCTTCTTCTACAGACCTAATTGATGGATGATCACCAAACTTTGTAGCATTCTTGGGTAGTCTTTTATCAAGTTTGCTAATTTTACATTGATTGGCCCCTTTTAGGGATCTCTAGAGCTAAAATTAGAAAAAAAAACCTTTAGACATCTCATTCTACAGAACTAATTGATGGATGATCACCAAACTTTGTTTGCTCATATTAATTTGATTGGCCCTTTTTAAGGGCCGCTAAAGCTACATTGTGAAAATAGAAAAACCTTTGAACATCATTTCCTACTGAAATAATCGATGGATGATCACCAAACTTTGTCTGTAACATTCTTAATCTTCTATCAAGTTTGCTCATATTAATTTGATTAGCCCCTTTTAAGCTAAAGCTTAAATGCCCCAGGTCATAGCATTTCTTTAAATTATAACTTAAAGATATTCTATGCTCAAATTTGTTATTATGCTCCGCGAAAAATTTCGGGGGAGCGTATAGTACCCGCCTTGTCCGTCCGTCCGCTTTTCTTGAACGGAACATAACTTTGAAACAACAAGAGGTATCAACATGAAACTTTGTAGATAGATTATAGATCTCAATGAGTAGGTGTTCAGTGCACAGGAACTGTAACGCTGCCTTGCCTAATTTTTGAATTATTGCCCTTTGTTTATTTTTACATTTTGAACTTTGTCCGGGACATAACTCTAAAACTATAAGAGGTATCAACATGAAACTATGTAGGTAGATAGATCTCAATCAGTAGGTGTTCAGTGCACAGGAACTGTAACGCTGCCTTGCCTAATTTTTGAATTATTGCCCTTTGTTTATTTTTACATTTTGAACTTTGTTCGGGACATAACTCTAAAACTATTAGAGTTATCAACATGAAACTTTGTAGATAGATAGATCTCATTGAGTAGGTTTGCAGTGCACAAGAACCGTAACTGTGTCTTGCCTAATTTTTGAGTTATTGCCCTTTGTTAATTTTGACACTTTGAACTTTGTCCGGGTCATTACTGTAAAATTTTAAGAGATATCAACATGAAACTTTGTAGGTAGATAGGTCTCATTGGGTAGAAGTGCAGTGCTAAAAATCATAACTCTGCCTTGCCTTATTTTGAAGTTATTGCCCTTTGTTAGCTCACCAGAGCCGAAGGCTCAGGGTGAGCTATTAGTATCAAAAGGGGATACTCCGGCGTCCGTCGTCATGCGTCAACAATCGTCTTCTCTGAAACTGCTGGGCAGATTTACTTTAAATTTGGTCTGTAGCATCCTTGTGACAGTCAGACTTAAATTTGCTCATGTCATTTCAATTGGCCCCTTTTAGGGGTCAACAGAGCTAAAAAAAGAAAAACCTTTAAACATCTTCTTCTACAGAACTAATTGATGGATGATCACCAAACTTTGTCTGTAGCATTCTTGGGTAGTCTTTTATCAAATTTGCTCATATTAATTTGATTGGCCCCTTTTAGGGGTCTCTAGGGCTAAAAATAGAAAAAGCTTTAAACATCTTCTTCTACAGAACTAATGGATGGATGATCACCAAACTTTATCTGTATCATTCTTGGGTAGTCTTTTATCAAGTTTGCTCATATTAATTTGATTGGCCCCTTTTCAGGGCCGCTAAAGCTAAAAATAGAAATACCTTTAAACATCTATATCTAGAGAACTAACTGATGGATGATCACCAAACTTTGTCTGTAGCATTTTTTGGAAGTCTTTTATCAAATTAAGTCATATTAATTTGATTGGCCCCTTTTAGGGGTCGCTAGGGCTAAAAATAGAAAACACTTTAAACGTCTTCTTCTACAGAACTAATTGATGGATGATAACCAAACTTTGTCTGTAGCATTCTTGGGTAGTCTTATATCAAGTTTGCTCATATCATTGTGATTGGCCCCTTTTAGGGGCAGCTATAGCTAAAAATAGAAATACATTTAAAC